GACCACAAAGGCTCCTCCAGGTTAACTGTACTAGAATTACGTTTTTAACATTAGGGGAATTAAAGTGACGGGTATATTCGTTGTACATTTTTTTGCAACTTCTCTGCACATCTAAAATTTCAAAATAAAGTTTTTCAAAAAGTGCCCTTAAATTAAAAAAAAATTCTGATTTCAATTATGTTGCTGGCAAAGAATATTGGATAGACCATGGGCTGGCAGAGAATGAACAAAGGTATCAAAAGGGCAGCCACAATGCTCCATGGAAAGATGGGTGGTGAGACCCTGCCTCACTGTTTCGTGGGACATATCATCGGGAGGGCCCAGTTCCTGGAGAAGGGCATCATACTTGGTAGAGGGTCATCAAAAATGAAAATGACCCTCCAGCAGATGGACTGACAAAGTAGCTGCAACAATGGACTCAAGTTGGCCAAGATTTGGATGCTGGCACAGGATTGGGCAGAGCTTCATGCTCGTATACACAGGGTCCTGAGGAGTCGGGACCGGCCCTGGCCACCAGACAACAACTCAAAATCCTCTAAGGGCTTTCCATCTTCCTCAGAGCAGGAATCAACCTGTTACTGTCAAGTCAACTCTGCCTGGAGTGTAACTCCACCCATTCGTTTATCGCCGATGGCCGATTCCTCACCACAATGGCAGAGCTGAATAGTTGCACCTGAGATTATATGTGCTGTATGCACAAATGTGCTACATTATGAATGTTTCATTACCATCTCTTCAGTTGATAATGGACATAAAAGCTAGTGATGGACACAGAGTAATGTGGGTGTCTTTAGGGGAGAAGATTGCCTGTTATATTTTTCAGTAAAGGCAAAAATATAGATTTTATTCTAAATAGTCTTTCATTTATTAGTCAAATATTCACTGAAGGATAAAAATGAGGGACTTACAGGAAGAGATTGAAACTTCATTATACAATAAATCTTGCTTCTAGATTACAGTATGTCCCTAAGTCATCAGCTGTCTTTCTATATATTTTTAATCTCTGGGACAAAACTGATTTATACATGCACATTGTCTAATCGATCTACAAAGTGTGTTATTTTAAATAGCAGTCCTAGTGGCACAGTGGTTATACATTGGGCTGTTAACTACCGAGTGAACTGTTCAAACCCACCAGCCACTCTGCTGGAGAAAGATAAAGTTTTCTGAAAATCAAGATTTAGAAGATGAGGCCAACTCCAAACTATAATCCTCAGTTCTTAGCTTTGGAGTTGTTTGTTTAAAAGATTGTATTAAAAAAAAGATTCATAGAGGGGCCCCCCAAAAGTAAGGCCAGAAATTGAATGCTGAGCAGAAAAAAAATTTAATTAAAAATATTGTAGGATGGGGTGGGAGGGGAAAAAATGAAGACCTGATGCCAGGGGCTTAAGTGGAGAGCAAATGTTTTGAGAATGATGAGGGCAATGAATGTACAAATGTGCTTTACACAATTGATGTATGTATGGATTATGATAAGAGTTGTATGAGCCCCTAATAAAATGATTTAAAAATAATGTAGGAAAAAAAATAAAAATTATAGACAGATAATACTGAAAAAAATTGTAGTAAACATTTTCTGAGATGGGATCATAAGATAGAAATAATATAAAGAATAAGTTGATAAATAATAGCATAAATTATATACTGTAATAACTGAGACATGCAGACAATAAGAATGTGAGAATGCAAAAGCTATCGATTAAATTCTAAGTAAAATAAACACAAGAATGATACAATCTTAAAGTGTGATCATATCAGAGATCCTTCAGGGTGACAAGAATTCATTCTTAGCTCCTCCTGACATTCTAGATCAGTGGTTCTCAACCTGTGGGTTGTGACCCCCTTAGGGGTCGAACAACCCTTTCACAAGGGTCCCCCAATTCATCAGAGTAGCAAAATTACAGTTATGAAGTAGCAACAAAAATAACGTCATGGTTGGGGGAATCACCACACCATGAGGGCTGTATGAAAGGGTGGAGGCGTCGGGAAGGCTGAGAACCACTGTTCCAGATAAAGCACCAGTGGTCAACTGTTCAAAGCCTGGTGAGAATTTTCAACAAATTATATGTCAATGGACTCTTAATAGGGAAATAATTGGAGGAGAACAAGGATCAAATATGTAACTGAAAATTACATTTTGGGTCCTCTTCGCCTCCCAGAGGGGAAACCCTCCTTTCAAGAAAAAAAGAATCACAAGAATGTAAAGCCAAATAGGGCAGAAGATTATAACCCTTTATTGTCTAAACCAGTTGGGGAAGATTAGAATATCTTGCAGATCACTTAGGAGTTCCTCATAAAAGATTTAAATATACCCATTTCTCACTTACTGATCTCTTAGGTTCCCAAGACCAGGTTGTTATGCAAACATCAGGGTTACATAAAAATAACGCATGAACACAGCAGATCACAAAATGGAAGATGACTAAATCATTGCATAATTGCCAAATTACATCATTACCATTTGCCAAAATCAGGGGTCCTCAAACTTTTTAAACAGGGGGACAGTTCACTGTCCCTCGACCGTTGGGAGGGCTGGACTATAGTTTAAAAAAACAAAACTATGAACAAATTCCTATGCACACTGCACATATCTTATTTTGAAGTAAAAAAACAAAACAGGGCAAAAACACCCGGTGGACTGGATAAATGTCCTCGGTGGGCCACATGTGGCCCGTGGGCCGTAGTTTGAGAACCCCTGGCCAAAATAGTCTGAAAACCATGACCCAGCCAAGTTGGTACTTAACCATGACAGCCAACTTTACCCTTGCCTCACACATTGGTGCTAGTGATTACCCAACATATATTGTGAACACACAAAATACTCTGATAGTAAATTTTTTTACCGTGGTCATATATGCAAAATGTGGGTTTAAAGAGATAAGTGATGAGTAAGTGGAATGTTGTCAAGAAGACAGAAATAGAGGCTAAGGGAAAGGCTGGAAATCTACATCAAGGAACGATCCCATGCAAATACAGTTTAGAGTCCAAGTCACAGAACATGTGCACTTGTGACTAGTTCTGCATGGGTCCCAGCCTACCAGGACACTTAGCTTAAAACTACCAATCATATAGAATCAAATCTAGTTGTAAAAACATTAAATTGTCTATAGGCAATTAACTCTATTAAAATGATTCTTAGGTTTAGAATATTACTTTCTTTGAAATATTGAAATTCTATGTGGCTACATAAACAAGTACTGCAATTCAATGAGATATGGCCAAATTACAAAAAGCTGTATCAATTTCCGCTGTAGTTAGGTGTGATCAATGTGGCTCTGATTCATCACAACTTAATGTGTATTGGTTTATGATACATGATTGACAGGTTTAATTATTTTAAATGTAAAACTTCTACAAAAGACAAAAACATCACAAGGTTAACAAAAATGAGAAACTGGACAACTGTTCATAATATGATAGAATTTAATTTTCATGTATGAGAAAAATGAAAATTTTTCATGACATTAAATTTCCCCATATATGAACATTTCTTATAAATTCAAAACCCAAAATAGAAACTGTAAAGGTAATAAAATTATATGCAAGTGTTCAACAAACATATCAGTAAACATCTAATTCCACTAGCAAAGAAATCAAGTGAAATAAAACCAGACTCCATTTTACCCATAGAATTGGCCAAAAAAAAAAAAGTGGGGGAAAATTAATACTACCTAGCAGATCATATAGACAGAACAAGCTCTCTCCCTGACTATTAGAAGTGATTAAATCAGTTCAACTTTTATAAAGCACTTTGGCCATGTATCAAAATTTTAATGTATACAGCCTCTGTGTATATCAATTCTATACTTGGGAATTCATTTTAAGTCAGTAACTACACAATTAGACAACAATTTATTTACAGGAATTCACAGTGCAGTGTTGTTAATAGAAAAAACTTTATAAACATCTAAATGTTTATCAATCAGCAATTAAATTATGTTAAAATTGTACATGGAATGTTACATATAGTCATAAAATGATGACACAATGCTATTTATTGTTTTTAACATGGAAAAATGTCCACAATATTTAAAAAAATATTACAGAAAACTCATTTACAAACAAGGGGACTTAAAAAGTTCGGAGGAAAATAGATTTTAAAAACCCCAATTTAGTCTAAACCTTTCTCACGTTTCAGAACTTCTAAAGAGTATAAATGCAAACCTCCAAATTTATACCTGAGAGCTAGGAACTGAGACTCACTAAAGATCTATATACAAGTACATGCAGGCAGTCCCCCAGGTTTTGGACATCTGACTCACAGGCAACTCTTACTGGTCTTTTAACCAGGAGATAAAATCAGTTCGACAATGGCTGATGAAGCAAAACAGGAACAGACCTGAATTTTTACAATTTGTTGTGTAACTCTAATAGAAAAAGTTACAAGCTGATGTTTGGAAGGGGAGACTCCTAAGAGTTAGTCTTTTCAGGAGCCTGGTTTGTAAAACTAACTTAGCAGAGCCATGGAGAGTCACACACTTTCAAAGCTGTGGGACTGTGTGCCATCGTTAAGCAGGACAGTGCTGGCTATGCTTAAAATTCACTTTACATTTATATAAATTTGTCCTTGCTGTGAAATAACAGAACCAACTCCTATTTGAAATACATTCTTCATCACAATCACCTTCACTAGCTGCACATGCAGCTTTTAAATCGCAGAAAAGGCTTGATCCTTTTTGTACTAAAGTAAATAAGGCTAAGAACTTTATGTCCTGTTCTGAAAGACTTAAACATTCTTAAAGACACAGTTAAGGACTGATCTCGTTTTTAACCTGGAGACTGCCTGAAATATGACTCAGCTGAGAGAAAACAGCATTGTTGGATTGTAGCTGCAGGAGAGAAGCTAAGGGAAATGCAACAAATCATACTTACATTAATCAGGACCCCTAACCTTTACTCATTACATTTTAAAAACGCTTATAAAACCATATTCAAATATCCAATTACAGCTTCAACATTTATAGATTATATGTGGAATAAAATAACAATTAAATAATTACCTCTCCTATGAAGACTACTATAACACAGTCCAACTTCTCTTCAGGATACAGATTATCAATAAGGGAATGAAGTGTTTCTATGAGGTAAGATTTAACGTCTCTCTTCACTGTGGGAATTCCCATTACTACTGAAACTGAAACAAAATAATGATAGCAATTATATAAAATAAAGATGTTAATAAAGACAATTTAGAACAACACTATTGCTCCAAAAGTATTACCCACACACTGCTGTCAATTCAACTTCGGCTCCTGTGACAGGGCAGAGAACTGTCCCATACGGTCCCCAAGGCTGTACGTCTTTACGGAAAACGACTGGCTCATCTTTCTCCTCAGACTGGCTGGTGGGGGGTCTGCTTAGCCCACTGTGCCAGGAGGGGCCCCGATTTGATAGAAATCATTGAGGGATTAAGACATAATAGATTTCAGAAAGAAAAATAACCAAAGGCCACAAAAGCATACCTTAATAATACTGTTATTCTTTTCCACTTGGCTTAAGCATATAAAAAAGTTTCAAAAAAATGATAAAAATTAAACATTAAGCCTCACACTAAAAACAAATGACTGTGAAATATAAATAATTGATGTTACTAAGCAATTAAAACTAAGGGCTACCAGGCAAATCTTAAGAACTACTGTCTTCCGCAGTGACTTCACGTTTCCAATTGTGGATACCCTGAGAAGGACTAATACTTGTATGATATTCTTGCCAAAGTGCATAACCCCAATCTAACCAGGAGCAAAGATAAGTCCAAATTGGGGGAATGTGCCACAAAAACAATTGGTCAGTACTCTAAGACATGACAAATAAATGAAATATGAGATCCTGGATTGGATTCTGGAACAGAAAAACTGTTATAAAAGGACAAATGACAAAATGGGAATAAGATCTGAGGTTAATTAACAGTACAGCACCAATGTTAATTTCCTGGCTTTGATCAAGGTATTATGTTCGTGAAGTGTTTAGATTCATGAAAACTAGGGGAGAGCATACAGAAACTACCACTTGTGCAACTATTTTTAGTGTAAAATTATAACCAGTTCTAATATCCTAGTTGTTTTCTAAACAAACGTTGTTTCAACATGACTAATATTAGGAAACAATTTTACCATCATGTAAATTTCATACTTACTAGGTGAAAGAATATTGGACCCATATGAAATGAGTTCAGAAATTTTAACCAAGCCATGCAGAAATACAGCAAACGTACCCACCCACCCACCCATATCTACTAGCTACCTCAGTGCCCTCAGGCCATGAATCACACCAACCCGTGGACGGCAGCTTTCCATCAGAGAATCCACCTTGCACGAGTTCACAATAACCTACCACCTGCAACTCGTCTAAAGCCTACTTCCACAAACAAACTGCAGGTCACTTTCTAACCCTAGTATCTTACTAAGTGTAGCATTAATGTATTTTTTAACCATTTAACACATAAAAAAAGGTGCTTCATTTTGCTCACTATATTGTACAATTTTGCACAGTGTGATTTTTAGGAATGCATACGCTGTAACAGAGCTGACTGCGGGCACCTTGTTTCTTTTTTTTCAAATGTGTCCCTTGTTGTTGCCGTTAAGAATATAGAAAGCAACGCATAATAGCATACCAATTTAACTGCTTCCACATGTGCCATTCCATGGCCCTAATTCCATCTCTGAGCTGTGCAACCATTTGCACCCTCCCTTTCTGAGTGTTCCTCTCTGGTTAACATAAAAAAGTCGCTTCCCCCAAGGTTATTGTCTACTTCTTCTGAGCTGCTGTTGTCACTGATCCCTGCCAGAGCAAAATACTCCAGGTGGGTGTTTTTAACTACTTAATCTAGACTAGGGGTTCTCAGCCTTCCAACGGCCACGACCCTTTAATACAATTCTTCATGCTGTGGTGACCCGTATGTGGGCATTTCTGCATGTGGGCGGGCCCACTTGGACACGGATAGAGGAGCAGTGTCTTGGTTCCTAAAACCATCGGAAATATGGTCTTAGACGACCCCTGTGAAAGGGTCATTCGACCCTCCCTCAGGTGGGTCATGACCCTCAGGTTGAGAACAGCTGATCTAGAGCATTGTTTGCCTTTAATGGTACTTTAGGGGATGTGGGCTGTAATTCACATTGTTGGCAGTTCAAAACTCCCAGCAGCTCCTCTGGAGAAAGACTGGCCTGTCTAATCCTATACACAGTTACAGTCTCAGAAACGCACAGGAACATCCCTATGAGCCAGCCTTGACTCAATGGCAGTGAGTTTGGTTTCAGTTACGGAATTTTTTAGTTTAAAGGTAACAGTTTCAGGGATTTATTGAGTCTCTGGCTCTGAATTTCATGCATGTTTGAAATTCTATTCTGCATTTCCCCCCTTTGGGATTAGTCTTCATCTCTAGAATCTTTGACAAATCTGGCATCATCCAGTTCTTCTGATCTCATGGCAAAGAGGCAATTGGTTCTTGGAAGCCATTTGCCAAATATTCCATATCCTCCCGCTTTCACTGACCCTCCTTCTTCCTTTGTTGCTTCATGTAAATGGAGACCAACTGCCATACCTTAGATGGTCACTTACATCACTTACAGGCTTTTTAGACCCCAGGCAATACCCAATGAACTAGGAGATAGAACAGGTGCACTACGCACATTGACGGAGATGTCCCATGAAACCATGACCCTAAACCTCCAAACCAAGGAACCAAATTCCATGAGGTTTATGGTTGTACTTCAGCAGTTACTCTTTTTGTGTGCTTCATTGTTGCAAGTATATCACAACTATCACCAATTCAACTTACTAAACTATATATGTCAAAGCATGTTCTAAAAAATAATTATCTTAAAAATATGCCTTAATTGTCTAAGTGTTTTACAGCAATACACATTAACTTTGAAAGTAATTAAGTCTTGTTAGGGAAGTTATAAAATACTTAGAATTCCTAGAACTCTAAAAGTAGAATGAAATTTAAGGGGTTGCATATTAACTAGTCTACCACCTTTATTCTACAAATTAAGAATACTGAAGTCTTGAAGATTTAAATCATGTCTCCAATAGCATGTCATATCCCTCTCTTCCATTTTAAGGACAAAGAAATTTCAAAGACTCAAAAGAGTGATATATATTTGTTCTACACCTATTTACAGAACATCTATTAAAGGGAAGAAATTATTCTCAATATCAGGACGTAATGGGGGAAAACACATGAAGCTTACCTACTTAAGGTGTGGGGGTGGGGGGAGAAACATGGTATTCACAGGGTGATCTTTATTATACAGAGTAAGAATGAGGGGAGGGGGAGAGGAGTACCTCCTGGAAGGACCTCCCTCTAACATATCATCTGAGCTGATCACCAAAGCTCTCAAACAGTTGAGGAAGTACCTTCTAGGAAGAGGAAACAGCAAGGCTCTGAAAGAATGAGTATGAACCAGCCAGGAAATTGCAAGGAAAGACAATGTATCTGTTTTGGCCGGGTCCGAACTAGGCAGCCCCCATTTGGACTAAGCTGAAGCAGGTCCAGGCTCTGCATGTGCTTCCCTGCACATCCCAAAGGTCAGCAGCAGCCGGCCAGATAAGATAACCATTGAAACCAGATGTTCTGGGTTCAAAGAAAGCAGAGACAAGTTGAAAGCAATTCTCAGAGTTTCCAGACCCCATATGCTGATTGCCATAATTGCCATACATTCCTCACCACCCCTTTATAAACCCTTGCCCCCAGCTGCTGAGCACGACTTCCCTGACCTGTTGGAACCTTGTCCGGGAGCTCCCCGCCACCCCCCAATAAAGCTATTTGTTTCTGCTCTCCCTTGTGCCGTCAGTTATGTCTGTCTTCCTCCCTGTTCCTCAGTTCCACTTTACATTTGGTGCACGAAACCCGGGAGAGATAGGGGCATGGGCTCTGTGCTGTCCCAGCCCTACTTCGGCTGGGACGCAGCACCCGCCCCCCCCTTCTCGAACCTCCGGAGCCTGTCTGAACGAGCAACTTCTGGTCAGTATCTCTCTCTGTATGTTCGTTCTGTCTCGTTAGTCTCGTTTGTCGCTCTGGACACTGAGGACCAGCAAACTCATAAGGGAACATAGGGTCCGTGGGAGGCTAACTAGCTGAAAGCCCTGAAAAGCAAGTACGCTAGGAAGCTGAGCGTGGCGCCGCTGCAGGGGTTTATTCTGCAACCCTAGTACCAAGAGGAGCTGGAAAGACCTGCCTTTCCCAGAAAGGGGTGCTACGATAAGGCCAGTTTCGCGTGCCCATCTTTTCTCTGTGTCTCCCTTCTCTCATGTGGCCACCATCCTTTTGTCTCTGTGTTCACCTCCTGGGATTCCTGCTGATAATAGGACTCCTAGTCCTAGGCCGAGCAATCACTGCACCTTCGGACTGGACTGGAACACAGAGGGTGTGTCTGAGCCCTTTCTACTTGTTTGTGTGTTTTGCATCTGCAGCCCCACAGTGCTTTCTCTAAAATGTTCTGCTTCCCCTTCCTCTCACCCTGAACAAAGGCCTAACTAAACTGCATTTTTACCGGCCATAAAGCCAGGCCCCCTTCTCCTTCCTTGGCTTCCATTGTGTCTCTCTGATCGGAGGTCCCTATCTGCCGGTTAAAGCCACAGGCGTGCACCAGGGAACCTTCCTGTTCCAGAGAGTCCAGAACTCTCCCACTGGGCCCCTAGCTCTGATTGGGACGCCTCTCAGGGTTACCGGGCCACCTCCTGACTGAATGGTGCGAACGGGGCCTAGGGAGTGCACTTCTCCTCTGTCCGTACCCCCTGCAGTTTGAGACACAATGGGAAGCCTTCTGTCCCAACCCCCTAAGGACAGTCCTTTGGGGTGCCTACTGCCAACCTTACTGACTTGGGTTTAGCTCCTGATCTCCGCCCTAAACGCCTGGTCTTTTCCTGTAACCAAGTTTGGCCTCAATACCAATTGGACATGAGTCACGCTAGCCAGAAAATAACACTTTTAATTTTAGCGTTTCCCGCAACCTCAATAATTTTTGTCAACAAACTCACAAATAATCAACAGTCCTATACGTTCCGGTCTTTTCCTTTCTTCGCTCACATCCCTCTCTACTACCTGTCAACCAGCTCAAGGTCTCTCAGCCAAACACTCTCTTAATCAGGCCCTGACAGTACTCCCCTTCAGTCTGTCTCTGGACCCCCTGACTC